CCTGTGGAAAAGGTGAATGAACGGCCTGCCGGAGCCAGGCACCAACACAGCCACCAGCACAGCTGCCAAGGTGAAGTGCGGGCTACACGCTGACTCCCTGCCCGTCCATTTTCACTTCCTCACAGAGACAGCTCCTAGAGCCCATGAACCCAGAGAAAGGTGTGGTGAGAACTGAACCCCAAATGTGAATCCACCACGTAGAACGTCTTTGTGACACTATAACCTGAAATGTAGAGTGAAGTTAAGTCTGTTATTGAACTCAACGTCTGTCCAGTAAGTTTTGGGCACCTGCTAACATGTAACATGTAGTCTTCTCCCAGACTCTGGAACAGTAAATTCTGTACAGAAGCCAATGACACATTCGAATTGAGGACACAGAGCCAGCATGCTGCTTGGAAATCTGAAGATGAGGTTCAGAATATACATTGTGTGCGTATTCAAGTGGTGTCTGGGAACTTTATTGTTAAAGAGCAGTAGTAGTTTCCTCTGCATCTGATTTGTGGTTTTTGACCACAGTTGTGACTAGATCTCATAAAATTTTAAAATCCTTTAAGAATGAATTATTTTTGTAGACCATATGACCTAGTCAATAGAAGTCGTTGACAATTGATGGAAAGAAAATATAGTAACAGCTGAGCCTGAAGACGGTTAAAGCCTCCTTTTTTAGATCAAGTGTTTAGGCGTGGTTTTGATTTTTCTTTTAAGTTGATAAATGTTTACAAGAATGCTTGCTTGTGTTTCTCCTTGGGCTCTAAATATTTATTTCTTGAAAGCTTTAGTTACGGAAGTGTTAGTGAATTAAAGTTTTACTCTGTGAAAATCTATGTGTAAAAAAGAAATTATAGAGCTCTTTTGTTTAATAAAAGATTTGTCATGCTCTTCCTCTAAATAGAGAACTTTCTAAGTGAATTTTGGAGCATGTTGTTTGCGAAAGTTGTTTTGGGAACGTGTGCGGCGTGCAGCCAGCTCCTGAGTGAGGAGTTTGAATCCTGCCACTGAAGCCTGGCTTCTCTGAGATGCAGTGTGGACTGCCTCGAGTTTGTTTTCCAACTTTGGGGGTTTTTCTTTCCATATGCCATTAAAATTCCTCTTTGGCTATTGAAGTTTTCTGTTCATAAAAACATCTTCTCAACTGACATCATTCCACTTGAAAACATGTTAACCACCCTACTGCTCTTCTTTGCTGCGCAACAAATTACCACAAATTTAACATCCTAAAACAGCCCCTGTTTCTTGCCTCACTTGTTTCCATGGGTGGGGATCTGAGCACTGGGAGTGGGGTGTCTGTGGGGGTCTCAGGCTGGGCTCGGGGTAATGATCACTGATCCCAGCATCCTGTGTCTGCTCACTGGTTGTTGCAGATTGAGTTCCTGCGGCTGTGGGGCTGGGGCCTCCACTCCCAGAGGCAACTCCCACTGTGACAGGAGGTCTTTCACAGCCGCAGGAGTCCTCTGCAGTTGGCCACAGCAGAGCCTCATGGAACAAGTGGGACGTTGTCCCGGGAGCGACATCCTCACCTTTGCTGAATTCCGTGAGTTGCAAGTGAGTCCTGGGTTCCTCCTGTGTTCACAGTTGTAGGAGTGTGTGACTCTCTGGGGCCTCCCCGGGGTGCCCACCATAAGTGGCATCCATGCCAGTGTTTCTCCCCATAAGTCACCAACCCCATGGTCAGCAGAGCACGGGTAGCAGGAGACTCTGGCACTCTCTGCTGTGAGGTTAAAGCCCTTGCAGTTCTGTATGGTGTCACCTGTAGTGCTTCTCCACCGTAAGGGAGAGTCAGCTTTAACGTGACTGCAAATGCTTGTAGTTTTATTAACAGAGGATGTAAGGAGAGAGACTGGGATGTCTGTGCTTCAGGCCAAGGAGAGGAATACGTTTATGTTGGCTGCAAATACCTTTCGGTGGTGTAATTTCAAGTTTAATCAAAACTTATTTCTTGAGGCTAGAGCTTAGAATTCAGGCTGTGGTGATTGGAATGACGGCCTTTTAAAGAAGGTGCCTTCGAGTCACCTGCCGAAGCTGAGTCAGAGTAACTCATTCTCTGGGGTTTCTGCATGCACTGCCATCTCCAATCTCAACTGGCTGTTGTAGAGTATTAATTTCTGCAAGACAGGAAGAGACTCTCTTCCCAAGGTTTTTGTGTGGCTTGGGAGATGGGGCGGGGGCACTGCTAGAACCATGGGCCAGGTGAAGCCGTAAGACCTGCTGGCTGGGTCCTGTGTCAGATGCCACATGGATTCTCCTCGCCTGCTGCTCCACCTGCCACTCTGTCTCTCTCTCACGTTCCCTCCCCCCGTCCCCTCTTAGCAGTCTTGTCCCACTCACATGGGTCAGAGGCTGTGGTGATGCCATGTCTCAAAAGTAGATTGATAGAAACATTTGTTTTCCACGTGTCGACAAGACCCAGGAGCCCTTTACTTGGTGGAGGTTTCAGTAGTCAGTTCACTATAAATTAGTTTTTTTCTCTTTACGTGCTTGCTTTTAAGTTTTTCCTTAAGATTTTAAAAAATTTACCTTAGCATCTTTTAAATAAATTGTTTATTACAAATAACTATTTTTCAAAAAGGGCAGTTATTATTTTTGGTAAAGAAAGCCCTGGAAAGGTACATGTCATTCTCAGACAGGTGTTTATATGTGAGCCCAGCAGAGTGAGGGAGAGCGAATTTAAGCACAGTTTAGATACGGTCATATTTTGACCTGTGAATGTGGTTTGGCTGCACAAAATATTTCTCTTAAGTCCTCCAAACAGCCAGCAGAATAAATGCACATGTTGGTCTGCTCTCTGCCACGCCATGTGCTAGCCAGGACACAAGGGACCCTTTTTGGGTCAAGATGCATCATGTGTGCCAACCATGCCGAGGTCCCTTTGAGATCCCTGCGTTGCCGACACTGTCTTTTGCTTGTCAGATTTAAAATAACTGACTTTACCAATGCCGTTGTTTCTCTTGAAAAGGTATAATGCAGAGTTAAAGACCCTAAGCATTTTCAGAATAAAATTTAATGTAATATTCTAATAGATTTGCTATCAAAATAAATACAGCTATTTGAATATACCACCAAGTCTAAATGTCAGCAACTTCTTAGAATTAACCAGATGCTTTTTATTAAGTGCATTAGCAGCTTGAGTGTTTTCAGTAATGTGTTACATTTAAAGGTCACTGTAGTGACCTAATAATAAAGCTACCACTTTATTTAATTAGCTGTTGATGTAAATGTTTCTGTTAATATTTAAGGTTGGATGTATTTGTTATTTTTAGACTGCACGTGGATGTATTTGAATTGGCATCAATACACTTCTGGATGTGCTGGTTTCTGCTAAAAGCTGCTGTACTTTGAACTTCTCTCCCTTTTTAATTTAATCAGAGGTTTTTGTTTTGTGTTTTGTTTTGATTTTTTTCCTAGAAAACTGGCCCTTCTTGTTGCGGACGCTTTGCTCATGTGCTTATTTTTGTAGTTACACGTGTTTGGGGTACAGTTTGTTGCTTCAGTACATGCACATATTGTATAATGATCCAATCAGAAGAGGTAGCATGTCTACCACCTAAACATTTATCATTTCTTGTGGTTATAACACTCAAGATCCTCTTTTCTGACTCTCTTGAAATATACAGTATTAACTCTTGTCACCTTAGAGCATTAGGACTTACTCTTTCTGTGTGACTGTAACACTGTACCTTCATCCTGATCACCAGCCTTGCTTTCTGCACCATGGCTGTTTCACATCGTCCCACGTTGAAGTGTGGATGTCCTTCCATGGCCCATGTGGGGCTGAGAGGTGGAGCTCTGTGGTGGGAAGCCCCTCGCAGCATCTCGAGACCCTGGCCAGTTGTATGTGCCCAGGCCCCTTGTAGGAAGCAGCCTGCTCTGGGCGACATCGAACAGGCTGACCCACCACATCCCGCCTGTCTCTCACAGGCAGCCCCTCCACCTGGGAGAGCCCATCAGCAGCCCTGGGTGGGCTTCACTGGTGCATGGGGCGGCCCTGCCTTGAGGGCTGGCCCTGGGGTGTCACGCTTGGCCCTGGCCGCTCCCTGATGGGCAGCCCCACCCCCTGCCACTTGATCAGTGCTGGGAATACAGTGAGCGCTTCCAGTGGCAGCACTAAACCAGGCCCCTGTCTTCCGCGTGTGCGTTTTCTCTTCTACACTCCTTTTCCTCCCCGTCTCTGTGCAGTGCGGCAGAGGAGGTGAGAACTTGAGGTCTGTGGCCCAGAGCTTGCACTGCCTTTACCCTGATCTTGACCCCCACCTGCACAGGGATAGTGACAGCACCAGCTTCCTGGGGCCAAGGTTTGGGGAGATGCTTCCGGCCCCTGCACTCCAGCCCACTGTGCGTGTCCCTCCTCGGCTGCTCCCCCTGCTCTCCCATCAGGCACATCCCAGACACAAGGCACCCTGGATAGAAAGCAGTGTTGCTATTGCCAGCCCTGCCCCCTCCCACGTTCCAGGGGAACTGTTACTCAGGGTTTATGGTATGAGTCTCATTGATCTTGAGATTTTAAATGAATACCCTGATTATTCATAAAACCCATCAGTATGCTAGAAATAAAATCTCTGTTAGAATAATGCACCAAAGGAATGTAACTAAATGTAAGAAGCTATTGTCATGGCTTCCTGCGTGGCTGCACCAGCAGCTTGCTGGTGGTTGGTCCCCTAGCACGCTTCCCATCACCCTTTTCTGCGTGCTTGTATCTATATCCCTCAGTGCTGCTTTTAAGGATTGGTTTGGTTTCAGACTCCGCTATTCAGGTACAGAATAGAAATAACTAAACACCCAGCCATTGACACATTCATGCTGTGGCTCCCTTACGTGGCTGGTTCAGTCTGCGGTGGTTTCTTCACTCTCCCTGGTGGGGGGTGGGGACAGGGGCGGGGGTTCTTTAGAAAGTTGGTCTGTTGCCTATTGACTCTTGGCCATTTGTCAGGTTGACGACATTCTAGGAGAAGGCAGCGATGACAGCGACAGTGAGAAGAAGAAGCTGGAGGAGCCAGAGGAGGAGCCGGAGGGGACCCCTCTGCCCAGGAAGCCGCAGGTCCCGGGGGCCCAGAGGGAGCAGACCATGGAGTCATCGTCACACAGTGAGAGGAGCACAGGGGCTGGCCATGGGCCCAGGTGAGGGCGAGTAGCCAGGGTTGGGTGGCTGGGGGGCCAGACATGTCCTTGTCAGCACGTTGTTAACACCATGTCTGTTAGCAGCCAGCACAGAACAATCACTGCCGTCGTGTTCTGGTTCCTACATGTTATCATCGAGCACAGGGTTTCAAGTGTGTTGTTCTCACACGCGGCAGAGAGCAGGAGGAGAAACCTGCAGGTGAAGGTTTCTCTCGTCACTCAAAGGTCACTCTCATCACGTAACTGATTCTTCAAACTAGCATTCTTAGAACATTGCATTCATCATCGTAACATGGACTTTTATCACATTTTTTATGATTTCAGTGATTACTTGGGCAGTGTTAATCTTTTCCCCTTTAGAAAGTCAGTTGTCACTGGTGACACTTATACATGTCTTGCTGGGTGTGTGCTGGAGCTCGCTGCATCTGCACGGGGTGTGGGTGGAGGTGCCAGGTATGAACACCTCCGTGAGTCACTGCTCACGCCTCTCCACCTCATTCCTACCTACTCGTCGCTCCTGATGATGCCGTAATCAGCACGTGGTAATTCATATCCTCCTTTACGTCGTTATGTGACACCAACACGTCTTGTTCAGTAGCCCCTGTTGGTGGACATTGGGTCATCTTTAGAGACCATGCTGACCCCACATCTTCTCATATGTGCATGTGTGTGTGCAGGTGCATGTACAGGTGCGTGCACAGTCTGTACAGATGTGTGTAAAATCTGCATGGGGGACTGCTGGTCAGCAGAGGCCATCATCATAAATGTCAGCAGAGGTGAGTGTTGCTAAATTTCTCATCCTGGGGCAGGTGTTCCTGTCCCGGTGCACAGGCAGAGGTGAAGCGGGCGAGCCCTGTGATCCTTCTCATGCGTGAGGCAGGGATGTGCTCGAGACACCCTGCCCCTTCTTGTGAGGATTGGTCGGGTTTTTTCGTGTTGCTGCATGCGTCATCTTCTTGTCACGAGGTGATCACTTTCAGCATCTCTGTCACGTTTTTCCTCCGGCTTATCATGTTTTTCATCTTGTTAACGATATTTGTGCCGTGCAGAGATTCACTCATGCTGTGGTGACATCCCTCTCTCCATTTAAGAAGCTGGGGTCTGAATTTTGCTACAAAAGTGTTTCCTAGCCCAGCATTCTCAAATAACCCCCCTTGTTTTCTTTTGATACTTTTATGGTTTATCTTTTTTACATCTACATCTTAGTAAATTAAGATTTACTTAGGGCCGGCCCGGTGGCGCACTCGGTAGAGTGCGGTGCTTGGGAGCGCAGCAGCGCTCCCGCCAAGGGTTCAGATCCCATATAGAGACCGGTCCGCTCACTGGTTGAGTGCAGTGCGGGTGCAACACCGAGCATTGCGATCCCGTTGCCAGTCGCGGTACGGGCACGATACCTAGGGTTGTGATCCCGTTACCGGTCACGAAAAAAGACAAAAAGGAAAAAAAAAAAAGATTTACTTATTTTAGTAGAATAAGAGAGGGATTTAACTGTGTTTTTTCTAAATGGGTAGCTAATAGTCTTACCACAATTTATTAAATGATCTTTCTCCAGTGACTTGGAATGCCATCTTTATCATGACTCAGGTTTTCCCGTGTCCAGGTCTACTTCATGGGCCTTCTGTTTCGTTCTGTTGATCTCACTGTGAGCTGCTGTCAGATGGAAGGGGGTCTCTGTGTGTGTATAATAAATGTCTGTTTCTAAAATTTTGCTTTATCAGATTGATGCACAAACGTGCGTAAAACCCGAAAGTGCTAAAAGGCTTACAGTGAGAAGTAGCAATCCCCCGTGGTACCTGCCCCGTCTTATTCCTTCTCACACCCAGAGGCAGCCACATCTCTGCTTATTTCTGAGTGATGGGGACACTCAGGCCGCACGTCTTCAGCTGTGTGCTTGGGTGCTCTCCTGTGAATTCTTTTGTGGACAATGAAGACAGTGCTACTAACTTTTATTCTCTTAGTCCTGCCAGTATCATTGTTTCAGAATTTCAGGTTGTGGAATTATTCAGTGTTTGTTATGACTGTCAATTTTTTTTTTACCAAATCAGTAGTACACTATGATTATGTATTCATTCTTAGACATCTTTTTGTTTTACTTGGATTTGATAATTGTCTCACTTTTCATTTGCCTTGCTACTTTCGTTTTTCTTATTTCTCAGCCCCTGCGGCTAACTCTAGGCTTGTCCCCAGCCTCCCTCGCAGAACCACCCCTCTGCTCTCCTGTGCCACTTTTCTGGTGTGTTCCCTATTTCCCTCGTTTCTGTGGAGCACATCTTCCAGAAGCTTCTTGAGAGAGTGTAAGTAGGAGGCAAAAAGATCTTTGCACGTCAGAAATTCTTACCTGTCCACATCTCATTTGGCAGTTGGGCAGGACACGTCATTCTTGCATGGGAACGTTTTGTTCTGAATTGCCAAGGCTGCTCCACCGCTGTCTGGCTTCCAGGCCTGGTGCTGTTTTGAGTGCTGCTGTCCTTTCTCTCCAGTGCCTTTGGGGACCTTTTTTTCACTGTTGATGTTGTGACGTACCTGGTGTGACCCCGCTGGATGTCGCAGACACTTCACATGTGCCAGTGTTGGGAAAATAGAATAGTTTGGTTAGGGCCCTCGCCTGGGGTCCAGTGGGGTGTGGTTTAGCACATAGATTGTAAGCAAATTGTGTGTGTGTGTGTGTGTGTGTGTGTGTGGAGTTAGTGTGCATGTGCACCAATGTGTTTTTTGAGTTTTGTTGCTATTCTTGTGTTCTTGAGATAGAGAGAGATGGTGAGGCAGGCGGGTGGGCATCGGCCTTGGGCATCCATCCTGCACGGCCATGCTTTCCAACCTATGGCTCCAAGGACCCTTTGGCTGGTTACCTAGGTCATTAGACCTGCGTGTAAGGGGATTGGTGACCCAGCCTGGTGTGTGAAGGGTTTGTGACCCAGTCTGTGAATGGGCTTGAGGGGTCTGTGAGCTCCAGACCCGGCCCTAGTGCCACAATTGGCCCAGTTGGCAGGATTACCAGAAAGTAAAAGAGCCCGACAACTGGCATTGTTGAGTAGCTAGACAATTGGCATCACGAACAGGATTAAGAGCTAGACAATTGGCGCTGTGAGCAGGAGCACTACAGTAGCCTTGGTTCTACAGCTAGTCACAACACAGCCTGAGCAGACCTGAGTGGGCGGGGAGGCCAGTGCAGACACGTGCACCAGAGGTCTGGCTTGAGAACTTGGTCTCGAGAGCCTTCTCTCGGCCACTCAGGACCAGGGCCGGTTATTTACCTCTTTGTGTCCCAGTTTCCTCATCTGTGAATGAGGGGTAAGAGCAATACCAGTCTCGAGGGCTTACTAGAAGCTTCAGCGAGCACATCTAGATGACACACACAGCAGTGTCTGTCAGCACTGTTGCAGGAATCGAGTTTTGTGTGTGAACTTTTTTATCTGCTGAATCAGCTCACTCCCTGTCTGGTCTGACTCTCATTCTGTAGGTGAATAAACAACATTTCAGAAAAGAGTATAGTTTTTTCAGGCCATCCAGTTACAAAACAAAACTGTGCCAGAAATTCTATCAGCAAACGGACAGAGGATCAGATGGTCATTGCTCTGTTTTTAAGATTTATTCAGAGAAAGTAAGTTGACTTGTAGCTCTGGGGTTTAGCAGGAAAAGGAATATAGTTTCTCTCAAAGCAGTCACTCTCTGTGTTTACCAGTCATGAAGCATTGTTTTCTGGCTTTGCTGAAGTGGTGTTAAGTTGATTTAGCAAGGTTTGTACGTTCTGTGTTGGGTGGTGATAAGCCTTGGTCTTCTCACCTAAATCATGCAGTTGTCTGACTGACTCACATCCTCATCCCTGCAAGGACCCATGCAGTCTGCGTGAAGCTCTGCGGCAGGCGTGGGGTGGGAGGCAAGGCACGTGGGTTGTAGGCTCCCCAAGGGTTACACTCCCACCACCTCGAGAACCTCGCGGGTAAATGGAGCTGAATGGGCCCTGTGCTCTGTTTGCTGCTGACATATGCAGTATCTGCTTACCTGACTCATAGATACCGTTTTCTCTTAAATTTAGAAAAAGAAACTCAAAGTGTTTTTCCACTAACACGGCTGGAGCGTGGCTGTCCTTGCAGTCCCTGACGCGTGGCAGAAGCTGGGAGCTCTGCAGATTGACCTTGAGGGCTGAAGGGACTTGGGATTCTGGGCCAGAGTGGATGTCCCAGTTGTTCCTTTGTTCTTACTTTATTGTTGCCTGCCTGTGGCAGACTGAAATTTACAAGTGAAATAAGTCAGGACTGGTTAGAAAGAACGTGTTCTCTGATGAGGGCTGGGAGGTTGCTTCCCAGGTGGAAGGGGGAGTTGTGCTTCTGGAGAGAACCGGGGCAGGTGAGGTTTTAGTCCCAGGCCTGTGTCCTGCTGATTGGGGTCTTGGCAAGTCCCGTGCTGTTCGCGTCTCCGTCTCCATTTTCAGCACTGTGCAGTGAGGGGAGGTAACTGCTGTGGGGAGGGTTCTCAATGGAAATTGCCTCGTGTGACGAGAAGCTTTTTGGAGTTGAACTGGTTACTGGTGTCTTCACATGCATAACAGCATGGGTAGAGGGTGTTCACAAACAGGACCCAAGTGGACGTTGAGCTGTGGTTTGATTCCCCCCCCCCCAGGGAGCTCTTAGGTTGTCATTTGGAAGAACCATGCCATCCATTTATGGACTCCTCAGGCAGGAGGGACTGAGACCATTACTTTAATCACTGTTTATGATTGCAGTTTATGTTACAGGGATTTATTTGACTTTGGAGGTTTTGGAATTGGAGATTAGAAGAATAAAGCAGCCTAAACGTTTAGTCAGATTCAGCTCTGTTTTATGCAGATACGGCTGCATCTTTTACCTACTACAAAGCTTATCACCAAGGAGCAGTTCATGATAAATGGAGACAGTGGTTCCATTCCTACCATGCATCTGTCCCTTCTTCCTGTCTGGTGCACGTGCCACCATCATAAAGCTTAAATGTTTGCCAGAAACAGCCCAGCAGCCACTTGCAGG